GGCATCTGGGTGGCTCAGTCCATTAAGCGTCTGCCTTCAGGTCAGATCATGATCCCAGGGTTCTGGGATGGAGCCCTGTGTCAGGCCTGCTTCTCCCTCTCCCTCTCCCCCTCCCCCTGCTTGGTTGTTCCCTCTCTCGCTGTCTCTGTCAAACAAGTAAGTAAAATCTTTTTTAAAAATTATTTAAAAAAATAAATAATTTGATTTTTCTGGGGTCATGGGTTCAACAATGTATTCCACACATCTTGATGGATAGTCTACCATGTGCCAGACCCTGTTCCAGAACCACAGCTGTGAACAACATTCCAGATGCTCTGAAAAGGTTGTTCCCAAACTTTTTGTGCATCAGAATCACCTGGATGCTTGCTAAACAAAACACAGATGCCTGGGCCCCACCCCAGAGTTGCTGAGTCAATGGGTTTGGCGTGGGGGCCAAGAATCTGCAATCGCCTGCCAGGCCAGGCTGATGTTTCTGGTCCCAGGGCCCCACACTGAGAAAAGATCCCCTAAAGACACCCTTCCTCTCACAACAGTAAGATGTCTGTTGAAGGAGGGGTGGAAAACGTAAATTCTCAACAGATTTACCTCTCTTAGCTGCTTCATGGATGGGGGACGCCAGATCACTCGCCGGGTGGGGGCTGGCCCCATGTTGCAGAAGCAAATTCACACAGTCCTGGCTGCCGCTGATACACGCATTAAACAACGGGGTGTGCCAATCAGTAGTGACACCATTCACCTGGAAAGAAAAGCTCCAGGCTGAAAGCAGGCAGTGGGCTGTCCCGGGTTCAAATCTAGGCTCCACTACTTTAAGCTGCTATCTAACTTCTCTGAGCCTTCAGTTCCACAGCTATAAAATGAGGACAAAAATGCCAAATTCCACAAGGCTGTGAAAAACTCAATGAGGTAAAGCACTGAGAACATGTTACCGAATATTCTATCACTTCCCTGCCCCCAGGAACATGAACTTTGAAACTAGTCAGGATAATCCTATATAGCTTACAAACTAATATCCCTGCTTTAAACATTCCATTCTAGACCCGTCCCACCCCAATCCAGTATCCTTTCCAGCAGTGAGAGTAACCTTTTAGAGATGTTACTGTATTATTTTTAAAAAATTTAAAACAGGACTTTCACAGAAATAGAGGGTGAATATGTGCCGAAGATTTTCTCAAGGGAGAATTTATATCTTCAGTCAATTAAATGCTGAAATAAATCTGCTAATAGATACAAGACTGGTTAATGTCCTACAGGGCCATCAAACTAGAGTCTTTGGGGCCATCTTTTCTAACGTTGGAAATCCGACCAAAGCTTACAAGTTCACATCTGACTTCGCAGTGTTTGGGCTACAATCAAATAGGGAAGAGCAAAGCCAAACGCAAATTTTCTACATTATTAAGCAAAGATATTATGAAGACGATGAAATCATTCTCACAAGCCATTTCCAAGGAAGGCGAGGACTAGTGAGGCACAAAAGATGTCCAGGGTGCCAAGTTTAAGGGGACACTCCCTCCCAGGAGCACGCGAGTGCTCAACAACCCTCAGAGGGAGACGCTTCCTACAACTGGCACCTTAGGTGTCTCTCAGCCTCTCCACTGTCCTAGCCCTGTGTCCACGAGTGCAGTAAGTTTTCCTAACCCCAGTATAAACCCGATGATGCGCTCACCTACGGCTCTCTACTACTGCTCTCAGGACAAAGCCCATTTTCTTGGCAGGGACAACGAGGCTGTTTGTGTTCTGGCCCCTCCCACCCACTCTGCTCTGCGGCCATAAGGAGTGATTTGAAGTTTAAAAAAAAAAAAATTGTTCACTTCCACTTCCACGTCTTTGCATTTGCTCTTCCCAGTGGGTGGGAAGCCCATAACTCGCCCCAACCCACGACTCAGCGGGCGGATTCCAACAGGTCCTTCGCGTTTTGGCTTAGACATCATTCCCCCAGGAGGCCTCTTCAGATTTCCTCTCTCGCCCCATCAGAAAAGGCCAGCAACACTTCTGTGTGCTCCTAGCAACCACCTTAGTATTCACGCTTGTCATTTGGTGGCAGTTTGCAAAAACGACCACAGATTCTCTGCAGAGTATGCATATCGCTTTGCGACGCAGCGTTGCAATTCCTGCCATCACAAGATGGAGACTTCTTTTCCAATCCTTGAATCTGGGCTCACCCACGGGACTTGCTTTGCCCAACGTGACAAGAGCAAATGGGAGGCAAGCCGAGAGCTTGCCTTCTTTTGATGCTCTTGGCATCCCTGCTACCAGGGGAAGCAGGCCAGGCCACCTGGGAAAGGATGAGAGAGAGACCACACAGAGGTTTCCTGTCTCCCCAGCCACCCCAGCAGGGTCATCACGAAGCAGTCTGCCCCAGCCAACCTGTCAGCTAACCTGGAATGCCTAAGTTAGCCTAGCTGAGGTCAGCCAACCCAGGCCAGACCTGAAGAACTATCTGGCCAGCACAAGGAACTGTGAGATAAATAAATGGCTCTTGTCTTAGGTCATTAAGTTGCGGTGGCTTATTACATGGCCAAATATAACGGGTAGACACAGTGTTTGGTAATCGCCCACTGGGGCGGAGATGCTGTACATGCCACAAAGCTCTTTCCTCTCTCCGGGGCACACAGCTTCATTGTTATTTTCCCCCTCTTCTCAGCTATGGACTCTAAAGTTCAGAACCTAAATAACTTATCCAAGTTTCCGATATTACCAAATGGTAGACACGGTTTGGGACCATTATTCAGGTCTTATGGGGCCAAACGTTCTATATTTCCTATAATATTTCATTACCTTCCAGCCATGGGAACAAAGGCAGAAATCCAACAGCTATTTATTAGTAGTGACTGTTAAAGAAAATGATGCAGACTCAAACCATTACTCCCTAGCTAAAAATTCAGTACTTCATCTATCGCTAAGGCAAAGCAGCTTGATAGATGTAATACTTTTGAAAAACACCCCTCTTCCACCTTCAAGTCAGGCTGGTCAAAAAAGCCAGAAATTATTCAAAAGGGATGGAAATGGGCATTTGTCATGGTTTCTAAGACATTATTTGAGTCACACCTACCTGAGCTCCATGCTTTAATAAAATGTTTGCACAAGAGGGATGACCTCCGAGACAGGCCTCGTGGAGTGGGGACACACGATCTGCGGTGATGAGGTTCACAGGCCACCCCTGCAGGAGAGGAAGTGGGCAGAGTAAGGGGTGCAAAGCCACAGCTCCACAGGGTGGCGTTCCAGCCACACATCCAGCCCTATGACAATGCTCCCAGTCTGACAGTATGCTAAGGTGTTGCTAATGATGTCAAACAAACAAAAAAGGAACTTTTGTGCAGCTGGTGAAAGAATAATATGCCACAGCCACTCAGGAAAACAGTTGGACAGCCTCTTACTAGAGTTGACGAGATGCATCCCTGTGACCCAGCAATCTGACTCTTGGGGATACACATTCTAGACCGACTTTTATCTTGTTCTCCCTCTCTCTTGTCCTCTCACTTGCTGGCTTTTTGTCTCGATGAGGTCCACGACAAGGATCGGAGAGCAGTCTCCAGCCAACAGCCACCCAGGAGCTCAGGCCCTCAGTCCAACAACCCGGGAGGAACCGAACCTTGCCAATGGCCACGTAAGTGAGTTAGCACTCAGGTCCACCTCCAGTCGAGCCTTCAGATGTCTCCGTCTCTGACCCTCACCTTGACTGCAGACTCATACGAGTCCCTGACCCAGGTAAATTGTGTCTAGATTCCTGACCCACAGACACTGTGAGCTAAAACAGGTCTATTACATGAAGCTGCTGAGTTTGGGGGTAATTTGTTACACAGCACGAGATGACTAACGCAGGGCCAAAGCATGAGGTGAACCTCCACAGACAGACAGAGGCAGAAAGTCCTAAGGCTGAGGGGCGATTACATTCTCACTCTAGGTACTCGAGGTCCGAAGAGCCAAGAGAGTTGTCAGAAGGCCCTGGGGTTCATCAACCTCTGGGAAAATATGCTCTCCAGGAGATGGATTATGAGCCCAAACCAAGCAAAATATCAAAAGAACTCCAGGAGAGGCTCCACAGATGTCCTGATCATGGAATACATTATCCTTAACAGGAGGAAACTGGGTACAATAAAAGTTGTTTTTCTTGGGACACATTAGTTAAGAACATGGTTAGTTTAACTAATGACTTGGTAATACATTGTACCTTTTCTTCCCCTAATAGTTAAAATTTGCCTAAAATCATTCCACTGAATTGCCTCCCACATCATCATTCCTAACAAACATTCTTCCACTTGTGTGACATTTAAGAGTCAGTCAGCCTCCTGATCATCCTGTCCTGTCGGCTTTTATTCTCTGATGGGTGACCTCACAGACATACGCCTGAGTCAACAGGATCCTGAATCCAGAGCCTTTCTTTGGGTGGACCTGGGTAGGGGTTCTGGGAGACTCGAAATAACCTGTAAATTATTCTCGTAAATGAGAAATTCCAACATCCCTTACAGTAGTTTGCCCCCCCGGCCCTGCTGTTCACAGGGAGGGAAGGGACGACATCTTCCCCTCCTTTGTAACCTTGCATCCCCTCTGTACCCAGTGAGCACTGAATAAATGCTTACTGACCACCGACTCAAAATTGCATTGATCCCTTCACAAGTGCTGCGCGTGGACTTGAGCATGGCATCTATTTTATTTTATTATTTAATTGGAGACATCTCCTCAAAGATTTGTTCTCAGATCCTTCTTTGCCCCCCCTCAATGCTCTATATTTGTCCAATCTCTTCCACTCACACTGCTAGAAAACACAAGAAATTCGTAACTCCCCGGGGCAACAGATCATGAGATGAAAGAAGACTTGCTCTTTAAAGGAATTACGTATTAGGTGTTCTGTTATTACCAATGTACTCCTCCGGTTACCAATGCCATTTCTTTTCTTTCTTTCTTTCTTTTTTTTTTTTAAGACCATTGCCATTTCTAAGCAATCATTTGGGTACTTCTACATAAACCCAGGTAAATGAAAATGCAAAAAAGAAATGAGTCACAATACAAAAAGTTTTCACCACACATTATGTAAGCACATGACAAAGAGGGTCCTTTACCTTCAGGTTCACTTTGCAAATGTAGGACTGCCCATATAGTCCCTCACTGAGCTACGGCGCTACTTTAAATGAATGGTGGCAACTGGTCGGAACTATCAACAAATCTGAATCCTAGAATATCATCAGGTGATTTTTAACCCATTACTTCACACAGAGTCCGGTCCCCAGTGGGTTCTCAGGTTTTTAAAACATGGATTAAATGGCTTATCTTTAACCCTTTCTGTAATCAACTGTCCCTCATCTCAGCCTATCATCAGATGCTCTTTTTGACGGGGCCTGGGGGTTGGGCACCCACAGTGACACAGTGCTCGGTACCTGGCAGCTTTCTGTTCCAGCCTCAAACCACATGTCCCCCGCCCACCCCCCTGCCTGAACCAACCTGAAGACTACAGGAAGGTTCGGCTTTTTCCTTTGTCCTGTACACACCTGACACATCATTCTCTACACGCAGGGCAGAAGGTCACGAGCAGCTGTCTCCCTCACGTTCATCAAACCCATAAGAGGACTTCTTACATTCCCCTCTCCCCACCCCTAAAATCTCTCTGCATGTCTCCAGGCTTCTGTTCTTCCATTGCTCCTTTCTTTGAGAAAGAAACATCTGAGCTCACCCCAACAGCCCGCGACCTCACCCGGTCCCTCTGCCACCTCATGACTTGCCTTCAGCCACCTTCTCACATGCATTCCCCAGCTCTCTCCTCCTCAGGCACACTTTCCTTTTGCCTTTTGAAGTCTTCCCATCTTCATTCCTGACCCTCTACCAAACTTCCATCGAAGGCTCTTCTCCCCTTTGCTTCCCTCCCCTTTATTCAAAAATAGTCTGTCCCCATTGTCTCTACTTCTAGCCCTTCTCTCATCTACCAGCACAATCCTGCTGAAACTGCTTTTAAAGATCACCAGAGACTTCCTACTTATTTAATCCAATATATATTGCCCTGTCCTCTGCCTCCTTCCACCTCTGGATTTGCTATGTATTCATCCCAACCTCGTGAAACGTCTCCTCTGGCTTCGAAAACCAAGTTCTCCCTGAAAAAAGCTCGATCTCTGACCTCCTACTGTCCTTTTCTGTCTCTCTCACTAACTGTGTCCTTTTCCTCCTCACACCTCCTAAATGCAGGCATTTCAAGGATTTGCCCTCAGATCCTTTCTTTTTTCTCTCAATACTCTCTACATATTGTATAGGGCTTTCAAAACTAAATCTCTGCCCCTGGTACATGTTTCTAATTTCCTGCTAAGACATAACCACCTAGAGACCCAACTAACAACATAAACTGAGCCTCTGCCAACAACCAAACTCTCCCTGAAAAGGGTTCCTTGTCTCGCCAGCCCGAATTCTCTGAATGGCCCCACTATCTTGTCTCATACCTAGGATGGAGACCTCAGAGCGGGGGTAAGCAGCGTGATTCCCAAGTTCAAATGCTGGCACCATCACCTAACAAGCAGTGTCACCTTGAGCCAGTTACTTATCTCCCTAAGCCTCAGTTTCCTCTTTTGTAAAATGGGGACAATTATACCTACCCTATAAGGTTGTTACGAGGACTAAGAAATGATGTATGCTTAGCACGCTGTAACTTGCAGGCAGTCATGATCTGAGATTTCTTCTTATTCTTTACCACTTAGCCTTCCATTAGCTGCCACATCTGAAAGATGTGATGTTTCAGAACACCGGGATCATTCCTCGTTTCCACTCGGTAGTGACTTAGCCCTTTGAGGATTGCAGGGGGCAGCATAAGGAGTTTTATTCAAGGAACTGAACAGCCAGTCTCCACCACTTGCTTGCAGCCAGACCTTATTGCTAAGGTTCTCGGTCTCGGCTGTGCCTTGGAATCACCTGGGGAGCTTTCAAACTCCTGATACCCAGGCTGCATCTCAGAGCATTTGCCATATAATCAAAGGAGGTTGAAGTCAGGTATCAGGATTTCTAAGAGCCCCACCTTATCCCAGACATCTCAAGGCGATTCTAATGTGCAGTCCAGATGGAGAACCACCAAATTAAGGTCCCATGGTACCATGATTGCTTTCTGCTGACCTAACAAACCACTACTGTTTTTTAAAATAAATTTTTATTGAAGTGCAATAAAGTCCATACAGCCTAAGTGTCAATCTCAGTGAATTATCATAAAGAAAATATACATGTTATCACTACACAGGTAAAAAGCTTGGTATCATCGGTCTTTTCACATTTACCCCTTCCGCTGGGTAGAGCTGGTAGTACCATCTCCTACGTGAAATCTGAATTACCCCAATTACTAATCAGCATAGTGGGATACATTTACTGAATATTTACGAAGTGCCAGTCCAAGTCTCTCGCTCATTTTTCTGTCGGGTTGCCTTTTTTTGTATTAATTTCAGACAAGGAATACAGGCCCTTCATTGGACGGATGGATGGATGTACATATATACATAGCAAATATTTTCTCATCTGTGGCTTGCCTCCTTGCTTTTTAAATATTGCCTTTTGATGAAGAAGTGCTTAATTTTAATGAAATCCAACTTATTGGTCTTTTTGTTTCTTTCCTCCTACTATTTCTTTCACGTCCAATTGCCTTTCTCTCTCTCCTACACTATCATAATGGTCTCTTTTATTAAAAAAAAAATCCTTGAACAACGAAACCGGAAGGGGAGACAAACCATAAGAGACTCTTAATCTCAGGAAACAAACTGAGGTTTGCTGGAGTGGAGGGGGGTGGGAGGGATGGGGTCGCTGGGTGATGGACACTGGGGAGGGTATGTGCTATGGTGAACACTGTGAATTGTGTAAGACTGATGAATCACAGACCTGTACCCCTGAAACAAATAATACATTATGCTAATTAAAAAAAAGAAAGAAAAAAAAATCCTTGAACATAGTGGTTCTACAGGAGCTTTTAAAAAACTACCAAAGCAGGGGGGGGGGCACCTGGGTGGCTCAGTCGGTTAAGCATCTGGCTCTTGATTTTGGCTCAGGTCATGGTCTCAGGGTCACAGAATCGAGCCCCAAGTCGGACTCAGCAGGGAATCTGCTTGAGATTCTCTCTTCCTTTCCCTTTCCCTCTGCCCCTGCCCCCCCCTCCTCTCTCTCCCTCTCTCTCTCTCAAATAAATAAATAAAATCTGACAAAAAA